TATTATTAGTTAGCCATTTAAAAATAATAATGATAAATAATAATGAAAATACCAACCTATCTAAATCTTTGTGATGAAGTCAAAGCAGTATTTGAGTAAGAAAAATTATTATATATTATATAAAATTATTATATAAAAAACAATGACAGGCCAGTCATGGAGGTGCATACCTGTAATCCCAGCACTTTGGGAGGCCGAGGTGTGCAGATCACTTGAAGTTGGGATTTCAAGACCAGCCTGACCAACATGGTGACACCCTGTTTCTACTAAAAATACAAAAATTAATGGGGCATGGTGGCAGGCACCTGTAATCCCAGCTACTTGGGTGGCTGAGGCAGGAGAATCGCTTGAACCTGGGAGGTGGAGGTTGCAGTGAGCGGAGATCACACCACTGCACTCCAGCCTGGGGGATAGAGCGAGACTCTGTCTCCAAAACAAGAAATATACAAGCCTCCAGAAAATCTAATTAAGAAGAGAGAAGAGATACACAAAATATTAGAAGCATTAACACACAAATAATATACAAACATGCTAAAAATGTTCCTATCCCAAAGAAAAAAAGTTTTGGTTGTTTTTTTTTTTACTATAGTTCTTACTCTTTTCTCCGGAAAGACCACTTCTAAACCAAACAATTTTTTGGAAATATTATGTTTTCTGATTATAAAAGTACTACAAAAATATTTCTGTTTAGTATAGTAGACGAGGTACTATAGGGCTGAACCATCTGGTAAAATCAACTAAAATTACTGGATTTTTAAAAAGTCTTAAATGCATTCAGAAGCTGACAAGAAAGTAAAGATTACTTAATGTATTGTATGTCTATTCTAAGGCATCATTGGTTGAAAGATATGCCATTACTTTACTACTAAGAAAGAAACAAAAATGCTATCAAACTATGACATAATGCTTTCCTATAACTTTTTTCTTGTAACTTTTATTTTATACTTATGGAAGATCTTGTAGGCATATCTTCTATTTTTTCCTTTCGTTTTTATTTATTTACTTATTTAAAGACAAGATCTTGATATGTTACCCAAGACTTGAAGTCCTGACCTCAAGCAATCCTCCTGCCTCTGCCTCCTGAGTAGCTGAGACTGTACTACCGCACCCAGCTTATTTTTGTAATTTTAGTTTTTTGAGACAGGATCTCACTCTGTCGCCCAGGCTGGAGTACAGTGGTGTGATCATGGCTCACTGCAGGCTGGACCTCCTGGGCTCAAGCAGTCCTCCAGTCTCAGCCTCCAGAGTAGCTGGGATTACAGGCATATGCCACCACATTCGGCTAATTTTGTATTTTTAGAGCAGACAGGGTTTCTCCATGTTGGTCAGGCTGGTCTCGAACTCCCAATGTCAGGTGATCTGCCCGCCTCGGCCTCCCAAAATGCTGGGATTACAGGCATGAGCCATGGCACCTGGCCAATTTTTTTACTTTAGTAGTGACAGGGTCTTGCTATGTTGTCCAAGCTGGTCTTGAACTCCTGGGCTCAAGTGATCCTCCTGCCTCAGCCTCCCAAAGGGCTGGGATTACAGGTGTGAGCCAGCACCCCAGCCTGATCCAGCTTATCTTTAATCATATGTTACTCTTGAGCATATATTAACAGTAAAATGCAAGTGAAAAATTTGCTTAAGTTATGCTTAAAACTACCTCACATTTAATCTGACTCTTCCACACAATTCTCTGTGCCATCAAGAACATTAGTAATGTATTATTTCAAAAAACAATCCTTAACATAATGAAAAAAACATTGATACTGAGCTCTTAAGCCTGACTTTGCTATTATGCAGCACTAACCTACTTCTGACTCATTTTAGGAGCGTTGCTGAAAAGTCTGATTCACTGTACCATCCCCTCTCCACTAACATTTGATGTCTGGGGTTAAAAGAATGCTCCACTGTTAGTCTCAAGATTTTCTTCCAAGCCACTGACATTCATTCTGCAATGAATTTTGATGCTGCAATTTCGATATTCATACATGCATAAACAATGACATTTATGTAATGGCTGACTGGCTGACAGTGATTGTAGACAGTTTAAGATACATACTGATTTCAAAGATGTTAAAATGTGAAAAATACATTTCAAACAATGAAATATAATAAAGTAAGAATGAAGTGAAATCTAGAGGATATCTACCAAAACTGGAAGAACTTAGGTCCAAGTTTAATAGCACTGTGCAGCATGTGGGTTGGAAATGAAAGCCCAGACCCACCTAAAATAGGGAATCTAAAAGGAGATTCCCTCTTCCCCCTATAAAGCTGGGTCCCAAAGAGTTACTCTCTCAGTGTAAGGCAAATTAGAAATCATCCATTTCTCCACCATAATTACCACCACCAGATGACTACAACAGTAATTGCTCATCTCAAAATTTGGTGCTGAGTCGGGAAAGGGAGATTATCTCCTCCAAGAACCTGTAACCACAAGCCAGCCCTAATGCAGGTTTGCAGCAGAAACACATATAACCTAACACTATAACCTAAAAGAAAAAAAAAAATCATAAGCCAAGAATTAGGATTCAAATAGTCCTAGTACAATGATGCCCTCAGATGCTCAAAAGAAGCATGTCCCTTTGGAGGAACTCATCTATCCCAGGCCTCAAGGAATTTCCAAATAAAATGTTTTTTAAAAAGTCAGTAGAGCAATGAAGCAAGACAAAAACAAAAACAAATCGCAAAACTGCCAGGAAACAAAGCACCATGAGCAAGAACCAGCAGGAGGCCGGGCGTGGTGGCTCACACCAGTAATCCCAGCACTTTGGGAGGCTGAGGCAGGAGGATGGGCCAGGCATCAACAGTCTTTTATAGGAATAGAACCAAGATTTTGTTTAGTGAGTAATATGCTAAGCTTAAAATGCTTACTCTTAGGGACTGAATTTTGTTTCCCAGCACACCACCTCTCCCTAGTCCCCTCCCCAGCCACCACTGAAATTTATATATTGAAGCCCTAACCAATGTGACTAGATTTGGAGATAGGGCTTTTAAGGTTAAATGAGATCATAAGAGTGGGGCCCAAATCCAACAGGACTGGTGTCCTTATAAGAGGAAAAGGCGCCAGGCGTGGTGGCTCAGCCGGGCGCGGTGGCTCACGCCTGTAATGCTAGCACTTCGGGAGGCCGAGGCGGGTGGATCACCTGAGGTCAGGAGTTCAAGGACAGCCTGGCCAACATGGTGAAAACCCATCTCTACTAAAAATACAAAAATTAGCCAGGCGTGGTGGCAGGCGCCTGTAATTGCAGCTACGTGGGAGTCTGAGGCAGGAAAATCGCTTGAATCTGGGAGGCGGAGGTTGCAGTGAGCCGAGATCATGCCATTGCACTCCAGCCTGGGGGACAAGAGTGAGACTTCGTCTCAAAAAATAATAATAATAAATAAGAGGAAAAGAAACTAGAACTCTCTTTCTCTTCATGAACACAGAGGAGAAGCCATGTGAGTACACAGGGGCAGCAGCTGTCTGCAAGCCAGGAAGAACGCCTCACCAGAAACTGAATCTGCCAGAACCTTTATCTGGGAGGTGGAGGCTGTGGTGAGCCACAGCACTGCACTCCAGCCTGGGCGACACAGTGAGGCTCTGTCTCAAAAAAAAAAATCCAATAAACGAAGATAAATGAATCATATAAACATATTGGAAATAGATTGAAGTCTCGCTTAGTTAACTATAACGGTAACATAGTACTCACTAAAATAAGACATCTATGACAAATTAGTGAATGTTATTAATGCAAAGTATGTTTGAGATTAGTCATTGCACAAGAAAATTTGAACACCCTGAAATCTTTTTTTATTTTTATTTTTCTGAGATGGAGTCTCACTCTGTCACCCAGGCTAGAGTGTAGTGGCACAATCTCGGCTCACTGCAACCTCTGCCGCCCAGGTTCAAGTGATTCTCCTGCCTCAGCCTCCCGGTAGCTGGCATTACAGGCACCTGACACTGTGCCTGGCTAATTTTTGTAGTTTTAGTAGTGATGGGGTTTCACCATCTTGGCCAGGCTGGTCTTGAACTCCTGACCTCGTGATCCACCCACCTCAGCCTCCCAAAGTGCTGGGATTACAGGCATGTGCCACTATGCCCAGCCGAACACCCTGAAATCTTAAAGTTTATATATGAAAGAAACTTGGTAGACGTTTTACCACATTTGACAACCATCTTAAGAAATTACATGGTATTACCAAAAGGAAGTTGTAAAGCTGAAGGAAACTTTTCTAAACAATCAGTAATGAGAATAAATTTCAAACAAGAAGGAGAAAAGATTGATTTATCTTTATATTCATGTAACAGAAAATACTACAAAATCTTGACCCGGCACGGTGACTCATAACTGTAATCCCAGCACTTTGGGAGGCCATCGTAGGTGGATTGCTTGAGCTCAGTAGTTCAAGACCAGACTGGGCAACATGGCATGACCCCAGGGCCTCTATAAAAAATACAAAACTTAGCTGGGCTTGGTGGTGCGCATCTGTAGTCCCAGCCAGTTGGGAGGCTGAGGTGGGAGGATCACTTGAACCCAGGAGGTCAAGGCTGCAGTGAGCTGTGATGGTGCCATTGCACTCTAGCCTGGGAGACAGAGTGAAACCCTGTCTCAAAAAAAAAAAAAAAAAAAGAGTAAGGAAAGAAGGAAGGAGAAAGAAAGAAAGAGAGAGAGAAAGAAAGAGGAGAGAGAAAGACTACAAAATATTGTCATATGATGAAGCAATCAGAGTTGCAGGAAGAAAAGTATCACAGAGGTGATTCAGGTAATTAATAAAAATATTATGTTGTTTTTCTGGATTTTATCATTTGTGTTCTTGATTTAAAAAATTTTTAAATTTGTTATGATTTCTTTTTTCACTCTAAATGAAAACTTACTTCTGTGCATAATTTTGTACTTATAATTTGAAAATTTATATTTTCACTCTTTTAAAATTTTTTTTTTTTAACAAAAAGAGCCCCCAAATTACATGAGCTTCAGGTCCTACAAAGCCTGGCTCCACTCCTGATGACAGATGAATATGAAAACAAGAGAGCAGAGTATGAGTCTGAGGTGGAGGGAGTCATGGTAGGACAAGCATTTAGAAAGTTTCTTCCACTCTTTGACCGAGTATTGGTTGAAAGGAGTGCTGCTGAAACTGTAACCAAAGGAGGTATTATGCTTCCAGAAAAATCTCAAGCAACAGTAGTTGCTATTGGATCGCATTCTAAAGGAAAGGGTGGAGAGATTCAACCAGTTAGCGTTAAAGTTGGAGATAAAGTTCTTCTCCCAGAATATGGAGGCACCAAAGTAGTTCTAGATGACAAGGATTATTTCCTATTTAGAGATGGTGACATTCTTGGAAAGTACGTAGACTGAAATAAGTCACTATTGAAATGGCATCAACGTGAAGCTGCCCATTCCACTGAAGTTCTGAAATCTTTCATCATGTAAATAATTTCCATATTTCTCTTTTATAATAAACTAATGATAACTAACAACAACAACCAAAAAACCCCACAACATCAGTTAAGGTAAACTTATTAATCATTTCAATAGAAGTTTGAAAATGCACGATAATAAAACTCAACGACCTTCACATTAAAACTAGATCTATTTACTATATCTGGCAGTATGCTATAGTAGGTATATTTCTGCACATCATGTTGGGGCAGAAAAATAAAAATACAAAGTACAGGTATATTCTACCTAGAGTTAATCAAACTACAAAGTTTGAGGAAACAGTGCCCACAAGACTATCCTCACTTCTGATACAAACTATAAATTTGGGGGGTCCAAAAACTGCCTTCTTTGATAATTCACAAGACTCACAGAGCTCACTGAAAAGTATTATGCTCATGGTCACGGTTTCTTACAGAGAAAAGATACAAATGAAAGTCAGCCAAGGTGGCTGCGTAAAATGGTGCAGCCACTATAAAAAACACTGTGGTGGTTTCTCGAAAAAATAGAAGTAAAATTACCATGGCAATTCTACTTGGGGTGTATCCAAAATAATTGAAAGCAGGTCTCAAAGAGATACTGCACACCCATGTTCTCAGCAGCATTATTCATACTATTTAAAACACAGAAGCAACCCCAAACGTCCGCTGATGGAGGAATGGATAAACACAATGTGGTATACACATACAGTGAAATATTACACAGCCTTAACAAGAAAGGAAATTCTGACATGCTACAAAATGAATGAACCCTGAGGACATTATCCTAAGTGAAATAAGTCAGTCACAGAAAGACAAATGCTGTATATTCTACTTATTTGAGGCAGAGTAGTCAAAATCATACAGACAGAAAGTAGAATGGTGTTTGCCAGAGGGTGGAGGGGAGAGAAAAATTGGAAGTTGTTTAATGGGTACAGAGTTTCAATTTTACAAGATGAAAAGAATTATGAAGATGCACGTTATAAATATATTTAATACTGCTGAACTGTATACATAAAAATGGTTAAGACAGTACATTTTGTGTTATGTATATCTTATTACAATTAAAGAATTTGGCCAGGCACGGTGGCTCACGCCTGTAATCCCAGCACTTTGAGAGGCTGAGGCAGGTGGATCACCTGAAGTTGGGAGTTCGAGACCAGCCTGACCAACATGGAGAAACCCTGTCCCTACTAAAAATACAAAATTAGCCGGGCATGGCAGTGGGTGCCTGTAATCACAGCTACTCGGAGGCTGAGGCAGGAGAATCGCTTGAACCTGGGAGGCGGAGGTTGCGATGAGCCAAGATCACGCCACTGTACTACAACCTGGGCAACAAGAGTGAAACTCCGTCTCAAAAAAAAAAAAAAAAAATTGAAAAAATACAGGATCCCCAGTTAAATTTGAATTTCAGACATACTTATGTTAAAAAATTATTCATTGTTTACTGAAATCCAGATTTAATTGGTGTCCTGTATTTACCTGGCAACCGTAACCCCTCCCACTGAAAATAGTAGCTATACACACAAACACAAACATATACACATATAGCCACATACATACCCACACACATCATCTTCTTAAAGGCATCAGAAGTGACAAGATAAAAAGGAATTATCAAGTGTGATAACTTTGTACTGTGTCAGTGAAGAGTGTAATTAACATACTCAGAGATAGGAAAATATGACCAATTCATACAATGAGAAGTGAATAATTTTTTCATACAGACTCACAGACCCACAAAATTTGCAGCTTCAGTTCTACAACTTCAGTCAAGGGTCAAAGTAAACACAGAATACAAAATCTCACTAGATCTGATCTCAAATAGATTTTCCTGTCCAGTGTACACAAAATGTTTTCTTTTTCTTTTTTTTTTTGAGATGGACTCTTGCTCTGTTGCCCAGGCTGGAGTGCAGTGGCAGGATCTCAGCTCACTGCAACCTCCACCTCCCAGGTTCAAGCGATTCTCCTGCCTCAGCCTCCCAAGTAGCTGGGACTACAGGCGTGCGCCACCATGGCCAGTTAATTTTTGTATTTTTAGTAGAGACGGGGTTTCACAATGTTGGCCAGGATGGTCTCGATCTATTGACCTTGTGATCCGCCTGCCTCATCCTCCCAAAGTGCTGGGATTATAGGCGTGAGCCACTGGCGCCCAGCCACAAAATGTTTTCTTATTTGACTTGAACTAACAAATAGGCAAAGTTTCACATAAAGAAAAAAGAGTCACAAACCATATTCTGTCATCTCTTAGCTGACAGAGTATATAAACTACCATCATGTTGACATCCATAACCAAATGTGCAGACCATAAAATCAGACCCCCAGCTGTTGCTATGATCAGTTGAGAACAGCTTGTAAACTGTGTGCAAATCAGAAATAGAACCAAGTTTAACCAAGAACCAAAAACAAAAATAACAACACAGGGTAGGAATAAAGAAAGAGATGGAGGCTAAAGTTATATTTCCACCTGGGATTCACTCCAGGGACCAATAAAATGGTATGTCTGAGCTTAAATATTCCATAAGGCGCACTTCAAGGGTAAAACTCCTTAATTGTTTGAGGTAAGTGTCCATTTGGGCCTTTCAGGTAAGTGTCCATTTGGAACTTCCAGAACAATCAACGTATAATATTTAAAAGGTTTAAAATACGTCTTTTACACAAATAATAGAATGAACCCATGTCAAAAATACATTAACTTATTAACGATAGGACCACAAAACTAATAAAAGTGGTTCCAAGAGTATTGGAGGAAGTGTGTATTTATAGACATGTTATTTTTAAAAAGAACGCTGGATTAAGATTGCTAGATTAGATACAAAACTGGTCAATGAGTTCCAGGGCAATAAAACTATAACCTTTGGGGTTATCTTTTCCACTGGACAGAAATCTAAAAGTTAACACTTAACTTCACAGATTTGGGCTGTAACAGATGGTAAATAGTAAAGTCAAACACACATTCTCCTAAAGAAGTCAACAATCCTCGGATGGGACTGTTAAACAGTGCTCTAGTAAGACATTGAAAAGACAGGGAATACTTTCTTTTGCTTATTTCTAAATTTTAATTTTTTTTTTTTTTTTAAGATAGAATCTCACTCTATCACCCAGGCTGATGTGCAATGGAGCAATCTTGGCTCACTGCAACCTCCGCCTCCCAGGTTCAAGCAATTCTTCTGCCTCGGCCTCCCAAGTAGCTGGGACTACCGGCACGTGCCACCACGCCCGGGTAATTTTTGTTTTAGTAGAGATGGGGTTTCACCATGTTGGCCAGGCTGGTCTTTAACTCCTGACCTCAGGTGATCCACCCACATTGGCCTCCCAAAGTGCTGGGATTACAGGCATAAGCCACTGCACCTAGCCTTAAAGTTTTTTTCTTTAGAAGAATGTGCTCAACTGATCTTGAGTCCTGCCTCTGTACGCATCTCTCCTGTTTGACACTCTACCCTGAGAACTCTAGTTGCCACGGCCTCCCAGTAATCCAGTTCCATCTCTTCAATGCAGGGAGATGTTTAGGTTACACCTAGGTTTCCACTCCCTTCATCCTAGCAACAATTTCAGGCAGTAAGCTGGGCCAGTTGTAGAGCTCTATTTCTTTCCCATTCATCAGGGTTCACTGTACTCGGTAGCCTAACGTCTAATATCTTAAAAACCATTGTTTCATATATTTAGTCTAGTTTTCCAGTTGTTTCAGTCAAAAGGGTAAATCCATTTCCTATTACTTACTTTATCTTGGCTACTTTTTCTTGTTTCATTCATTGCACTAGTTAAATCACTCAGTATAACGCTGAATAGGTGAGAGCAGACATCATTGCCTTCTTCCTGATTGTACAGGGAAAGCATTAAGTCTTTCAACATTAAACATGATATCGATGTAGGTTTTTCATAGATAACTAACCTTAATCTGCTGAGAGTTTACTTATGTTTTCTAAGTGTTGAGATCATAGTTGCTGTTTTTTTCTTTTACATGCCGTGAATGTGGAAAATTGCACTGATTGGCCTAGAGTGAGTTGGGGAATGTTCTGCTCTCTTTAACTTTCAGCAAGACTTTGTGGGGAATTTGTATTTGCTTTTCTTCCTTAAATGTATGGTAGAATATAATAGTAAAGCTCTCTGGGCCTGCTGTTGTCTTTGTGGGGTTTCTAGCTACAAATCCAAATTATTTAAGTTATATAGCTGTTGAAGTTAACTATTTCCTCTTGAGTGAATTTTGGTAAGTTTGTCTTTCAAGGTATTTCTTCTAAATTGTCTAATTTATTGGCATCAAATTGCTCATAATATTCCCTTATTACCTCTTAATATACATAATATCTGTAGTCATGTCACTTCTTTCATGTAATTTGTGTCACTTCTATTTTTTCCTGATCAGTCCTGCCAGAGGTTTATCAATTTCATTGATCTTCTAATAAAAAAAAGCCCTTTCATTTCTACTGAGTTTATTACTTTTGTTTTATACCTAATCGATTTCCACCCACATCTTTTATTATTTCCTTTTTTTCTGCTTACTTTGTTTTATTTGCTTTATTTTTTATTTATTTTTTTTTGAGATGGAGTCCTGCTCTGTCGCCCAGGCTGGAGTGCAGTGGCGCAATCTCGGCTCACTGCAAGCTTTGCCTCCCGGGTTTACACCATTCTTCTCCCTCAGCCTCCCTAGTAGCTGGGACTACAGGTGCCTGCCACCGCACCCAGCTAATTTTCTGTATTTTTAGTAGAGACGGGGTTTCACTGTGGTCTCAGTCTCCTGACCTCATGATCCGCCCACCTTGGCCTCCCAAAGTGCTGGGATTACAGGCGTGATTTCTTTGCTCTTTATTTTCTAGTTTCTTAAGGTAGAAGCTGAGGTCATTGATTTAAGATCTTCCTTCTTTTCAAATGTATGTATTTATGCTACAAATTTTGCTCTGAATCATGCTTTAACTATATCCTACAAATTTTGATATGTGTGCTTTCATTTTTCGTTCAGTTCAAAATGAGTCCCAACTTCCCTTTTGGTTTCTTTGTTGATACATGGACTACATAGAAGGATATTATTTAGTTTCCCAATATTTGTTAATTTCCCAGAGATT